TGTCTATTTTTGTCTAAATTTTTTTTATCCAATCAATCGGGGGGGGGGGGCAAGTGCCCCAGCTTGCCCCCACCTGCGGGCGCCCATGCCCCAGTAACACATCGATATATTATATTTACTCCGGTAGCTTATCTTTAAATTTCATTTACCCCATTTTGCAAATCTATATATAAATCAACTTGCAATAACACTTACGTATTAAATCTTTTTTTTTTTTTTTCCAAGGGTAATTTTGGCACCAAAGCTCACCATAAAATTCTCCCAAATCAATTTCCTCATCCATTACGCCTCTGAATCATGTCCTCGGTTTAACACAAATTTAAACTTTTAATTAAACGAATTTAATTCGCGCTGTAATCTCGCCATAAATTATGACATCAAGTCGACATAACATCTAAAATGGATCTTTAATAAGTTGACCCGACGTCTTGATATCGGCTTGTTGTAGGTCTTGATGTGTTGTCACCCTAACAATTAAAATGCGGCAAAGAGTTACTTTAAATAAAAACAACAACAAATCATTACGGAAACAGATGACACAATTTCAATGACTCAGGGATCAAGGTTTTCAAATTTTTTAAATGCATATAACAAGAAAACATCTTTAAATCATTAAAGCATTTCCTGATGCCCCATTCAGATTTTAATCTTAATTCGAATTATATTCTTTATCCGTTTATGCATTCCACATTTAAAGTATTTCAAAATAATAAAATACATCAACATAATATGTTTATTTTTTTCCGTAAATTAACTTCTAAATTAAATTTAAACAACACGGCTAACAAAACTTACCCGACTTCGTGTTGTCTATAAAAAAATAGCATACAAATAGTTTGAGCCCATCTTCCGTTATTTTGGAATGATAACTTATTGGCCTATGCACTAGATCATTTCTGCAAGATTTGTTTGGTAGTTAGGTCAAAGATGCGCTGAGAATAACACATTCACGGGGCTACTAGTTCGGGACTAACATCTGTCTCTGTACCGATAATCAATTTTAGTTATGGACGTACTATCTTTCGGTAACGTAACCAGATGCTTATATTACGAATTCCGGGCGTGTGTGTGTGTGTGTGTGTGTCTGCATGTGTCTTTGTGTGTATGTGTGTGTGTGTGTGTGTGTGTTTAGTAACGGATTAGGCGCTATGGATTTAATTCAATCAATAACATGCAACCTGAAGATTATGTTCACGTGACCGTGTAATCTATCTATCGTCCTGCTTTGATTGTCAACTTGTGCATCGTGGTGTGTGTCTGAGAAGTTGTCGTTCTGTTTTTCTTGTGGATAAACTTTTAGAGACTTTAAATTCAAAGGATCCACCGCATGCATATTGCAGTTTTTAGTACATTGGTATACATAATCAAAGATGTAATCATACAGATGCGTCGAGCATGTCGAATAGTTTGAAACGATTAAGCCGAAGTCATTGCGAGGTTTTCGACATAGTTTGGCTCGACCATTTGTCCGAAGTATCAAACATCCCTGACTCTAAACACAGTATGTCTGATTCTCTGACAGTTACCTCCTCAGCCGATGTCCACGCTGACCCCGTCTTGAACAGAGCGAGGGGAGCAACTGGTGATTTCGACAGTGGCGTGTTCAGTTCGGATGACAGAGACGGTAGCGAATCCAGGGGCGTAGTAAATTACGTGCTACGCTCATCAGAGACGGTGACCGAGGAGAGCGAGACCAACAGCGTGTTTGAAGACGATAGTTGTGAAGATCAGGTCTTCGTTGATGGTGAAGAGAACCCGGCGTTTTCAAGGCAATACGACTTTGACCCCGATCACGCCTCAGCTGAGAATTGTGCAAAATATGAACTAGTGAAGGATCCACCAGAACACAGAAGCCATCGGAAAGACGAGTCCCCCAGGGACACCGATGACATATTCAGCACCAGGGTTGGGAGCACTTTAGGAGGGGTTGTCATAAAACGGGGTTGCGTCAACCACAGCGCACGCCAGTTGACACGGAAGTCGAGCTCAGAAAACTTGTGTCCGAACTGCGGGCTCACGAACTCGATTACTACCAGCGGATCGAACTGTTGTGAAATCAAAGGTCAAGATATAAACTTTTCTTCTACGTTTGCAGCCGATGACTTATTGGTAATCGATTCTTTTCGCAAACTTAGTCACGTGCAGGACGTCACAACGCTGTCAGACGAGGTCAAGAAGAACCTTAGGTCACACATGCGAGGCCGTGGCGAGTTCAAGGAGAATATCTGCAGATGTGGGTATCTAGGCCAGGTAAATACCATCAGTGACGAGAAGAACATCCACCTGGCTCACAAGATGGAGCGTAGCAAAAATCTTACGTCCATCGCCTACGAGAGAGATTTGGCCGAAAGGACAGCTCAGAAGCCAACCAGGCAGGAGCTAATCAAGAAACAGACCCTTGTGAGAAAAGTCACTGAAAGAAAATCTGGTATAGCGAAAAGCCATCCGACTGGGACGAATGTCGGAAACAAAGATCACCCTGTAAACCACGTGGCCGCAACTGGGAAAGGGAGCTCACTTTTAAAGAGTAGCGGAGAAGATGAGATCACCAGGCAGCAGGTTTTTCACACCCAGAGTTCCTTCACGACGTTCTCCGGGACGCACCCGGTGACGCCCGAGGAAGCTCGCCGGAAGAGGGTGGAACTACGCCAGCACAGCTTGCTGCGTCACGAAACACTGGACCACGAAGGGTCTGCAGCGAGTGCCGGCGGCGGTGGTTACGTCGCGCCACTGAAGAAGAGCCAGTTGGAAGTGAGGGACTTGAGAAATGAGGTCAGTATGTAAAGTTAAGAATGTTGTGGTAAAAGATTTTTACAAAAATTTTTCGTATTACCTGAATTTTTTATTTTTTTTATATTTCCTCCGTTTTAGGACAGCTTTAGTCGTTTTTGTTGTAAATATCGATTATGTTAATAACTGATGGTCAAGTAGCATAAATATACACTTAACACCCTAGGAGTTCCGTTGTTTTTTTTGAAAAATAAATGTATAATTATTTTTATAAATATATACATTATCATTTGGTGTAATTAATCAAAACACCTCATACTTGTAAGAAACAAAATGAGTTTAAAGGCAAATTGTAAAATTTATTTAGTGGACATTTTTGTATTTACTGCATATGTGGCGGGGCGTATGTGTTGCTACTCTCTCAAAGAGTGAATTTGGGGTTTTATTTGTTATTGAATTTGAATAATATTTTTTTCTCAAACAAGATATCTCTAGAAACTCATTTCTATCTGAATCACACACAAATTTTCATCCCCAATAAATAAGATATCATACGATGAATTCTCTGCCACATGTAGCTAAAAATTTCAAGATATTAAAGTAATATTATTCGAGTCAAGAAATGGCCCCCTTATAGATAGCTATTTCCTGCGATACATAAGTCATGTCTTAATCGTTCATGTACTGCGGAAATGTTTGAGTAGCATGACAGGACGCGTTGCCTGCATAAGGCTTAGCTGGAAACTAACATTTTAAAATACACCCATGAGTATGTCACTGGATAACAAAGTGAATTTAACAAAGTTTATTGTTTTATGTGACATACGTTAGTCTTATGTGAGCTGCTTGTTATTTACATTGAACAAGTGTATCGTGTCTCGATGTATCTCATTGCCGGTTATGTCAAAGGTCTCTGTGTATCATAATGAACTCGTCTTGCAACCTTTGAACCGTGTGTCCTCTGTTTTATACACATACGAAATATATCTCAAAGCTGGTATGCGAAGTGTTTCTTTGTGTCATGGATATCTTAAAACCGTTGTGCCCCATGTCTCTGTGCCTACCAGCTGTCTTGCTGCTGATGTGCGTCATACAATTTACTGCTGCTGTCCTGGGTCTCTTTGTGTGCCATGCCTTGCCACTGTCTTTGTATGCGTCACGTTGTATACAACATGTCTCAACCATGTTGTATCATTTCTCTCCTCGTGTGACCAAGGTCTCACAACTGTCGCACGAAATTGATGAGAAGAATGTGGAGATCGCTTCACTTCAAAGCTCGCTGATGGCCGTAGAGGATAAAGAGAGACAGATCGTCGAGCTGGAAGCCAGGATACAGGAGCTGGAGAAACAGATTAATGAAGAAAGAGAGCCTGTGGTTAGACTGCAAGAGGAACTGGCGAAGATGGACGAACGGTACACTGCCTTAAAAGTAGGTTTATGCATGAAGATTATAAGCCACCGTTATCCTAGAAACGTTTCAAAAATGTATACGAAGATATTATTGTTATACTAATGGACATTTATTTATCAGACACACGCTGTTGAAAATAACAATAATAATATGGGCTAACCAGAAAGAGCAAGTATATTTAAGAAGTATATTTGATTTGTTAAGGAAAATTCCAATTGCAAACATTCACAGCCTTGTGGCTGTAAAATGTAAACATTTTTGTAGAGGCTAAGTGAGACAACACTAAAATAATCTGGAGTTAGCGCCCTGTTTGGTTACGACGTATAGATCAATGAAACTTAAATATGCTACTGCGATGGTCTTAACATGCCAAATCATCCATTTGATCTTCGAGAGAGATGACCTAGCATTTTTTTAATCAGTGCTCAATCAAATTTATGAAAATCTATTAGCTGTTTTCATTTTCTTTTTGTTTCCTCGCCACACTCAGATTGCCCAGGTTTTGTTATCAAAGACATAATACTTCAAATATATTAGCGATGCACTGTGACAAGTAAAAAAATATTTAAAAAAAAAAAAATAAACTAAACCAAATAGATAGTATTATAGGTCCAGACTTAGGAGGACTATGAAACAAAAAATATTTTACATCCATTGCTATGTTTATAAAGGTGTATAATTTTTTCATGAACATAAGTCATAATGACACGACTAACTAGTTTCATGACTTTCTTGTTGTCAGCTACCGCTCGATATAATAAAAAAAAGTTGATACATTTAATGAATAGAAATGTATTAATACATTTTATGCTTTAATCATTTTTTTTCCCTCTTGGTTTCAATAAAATGCTCCACTCCTTTACCATTTCTTGACCAGGTTGAATTCGCCGAGAAGGAGGAAAAGTTTGAAACTTACCTGCTGGACATGTACAAGAAAGGACTTGAGGCAGCTAGATTTGAGAGGGAGGAAGAGGTGAGATGAGGCCTCATAGTCAATGGATTTTCTTGCAGATTTCAATAGTGACCATCATACATTTTACTGGTGGTTTTAGTGATGGAGTGAGGAATGTCGTTTGAAGAAGTTTAGTTGATGAATTTTTTTACAAGCGTTTAGAAGAAATGAATTTTGATAAGCAAAGTTGTTTTTTGTTTTTTTTTGGATTTGAAAATTTTGAGGCATATATGGTTTTTCATTTCAAACGTCACATTGCATTATGTACTGCTACTATTTTTAGACAATGTTGCTTCAAACATAGCTTTTAACAACGTATTTTGGTAGATAGTTTACCGAGTGGTCTAAATTGACTAACTCCAAATAGTATTGGTCTGGAGTTTAATTCCCGCCAAAGCCAAAATCCCAAGCACTCCTCGTGGATGGGACTCGTTAGCCTTGGAAGGCAACACTTCTAAGAGAAGGCTAACCAGGTGCTAAAATGATCACTAAATTGATCGTGGGCCCTCAAATATGAAAAAAAAAAATTCTGCAGATACATTTAGCAGTAACAATTTGTTACCATAAAGTTGTAAAAGTGTTTTCGTCTAGTTTAAGGCTCAAATTTACGTACACGAACCGATCAGCTGTCAAGGAGTGGCCAAATGGAATATCAGAATGTTTCAATAACGATTTCATGATTTCATACTGCTGGATGTTCTGTTAATAGATTCAAACATGAAATGACAAAGCCTATTTAAACTATCCCTAGCCTTGGAGTATGATGCAATTATCTTACATGATAAAATGTTGGTTCTAGAGTAACAATCGGCTATGACGGTGGTGATGTTTGTATTGGTCACGGAACACTTCCAAACTTTCTCTATTTTGTAGCTACTTGTAACTTTTGTAGTATTTGTTTAACAAAGCATTTTCTTTTTTAAACAACCATCAATGATGATTATTATAATTAAGGGCGTCGTAAATTTTTAAAAACATTACTTTTTATTATAAGTGATTGTGAGATTTGTTATCAAAAGCTGTCCTCTCCCTTATCAATCCAGTATCTGTTCTCTCATTTATCTACATTATCCCCTTACCGTGGCCCTTACTAACTCGGTATATATTTTTGTCTCTACTCTCTAACCAGCTGGAAATGTTGGCCAAGAACAGCAAATCCCGTGTCACCGTAGGCGAGCTGACTCGGAAGTTGTCGAGAACGGAAATGGAGCTCGCCAAATGGCAAGGGCTCAGACTGGGAGAATCTTACTTCAACGCAGACATACCGCAATCCGAAGTGGACGTAACTCTTGGCTTCATCCGGGATTCGTTTCTTCACTTCTTAAGCGACAACTCGGAGAATCACGAGCATCTCAGGGCAATTTTGAAAATCTTCAAGTACTCAGACGCACAGCTCGGACAGATCTGGAAAGGTCTGGAAAATTTTAAGAACATTGATAGGAAGAAAGTCATGGATAAGATCGAGGTCCCCAAAAATGGAAAGAAAGCCAAAAAATAAAATTGGTTTAAATTTGATTGGGGTCGAAATGAAGTTGAAGATAAAATAGTACAACGCAGCTACTGATAGAGGCAAAAACAGTAACGCAACAAACGAACGTGCATTTCAGGAGTGCAAGAAACAACAAACCGATTGGTTTTGAAGAGTATTTATTAATTACATCATGAATAATAATAATTATTATTGTTTGCTTTTAAGAAAGGCAAATTGATGAATGTGTATTGCTTATCACGAGAAGGTTTTAGCTTCTGAAAGTTTGTAACTTTAAAATTATTCAATAAAGCGATGTATCTGATGGTTCTATAAAAACATATTTTGTATCTTTGATTTTCTTGTGTTAAATTTGGTTAAAATTTCGACCCTTTTCAACCAACCATCGAAGGGAACCCTATCGTTATTATTAAAGGTAAGGGGGGGGGGGCAGATCAGCCTTGAGTAGTGGAAGGCAAGTACCTCCCCATCCAAGACCTTAATCATTTTGAATGGTCTTATCATTGGATTGGATTTTATTCGTGAGATCAATAATAATGCTAATAATGCATAGATTTCAGTTTACAAAATGTACTTACAAATATTTTTTTTTCGTCTATTCAATTAAAAAACAATATTGTATGAAAAACGATTACAATGTGGATAACTTTTCACATTTGTCAGAGAATTCAATGATCAAATGATCAAATCCGTTGATTGTTCAAGAGATTAACTGCAGCAGGCCTATACCATCAGGTTTAAAAAAAAAAGTTTTTTAAAAGCTTTAAAAATTGAATTTAGACAATCGCTCAAAAGTTGTCAAACGTTTCAATTAGTTTTAATCCCCAGCTAATACCATTGTTTTATTCTTAATAATTATTATTGTTTCCTTTCCCAGATTAATTCATGAAATTAAATCCCGGTTAGGAGAACAATTTCACCCCCCCCCCCCCCCACCCCCCAACCCCACAAATATTTTTTTTTTTTTTTTTTTTTTTTTTTAAATTAAATAATATATTTTACTAATCTAGGAAGAGGCTTCTTCCACCCCATCTGTGTAGACATCCCTCCTCTTAGCTTTGAATAACATATGGTTGAACCTTCGAAACTTTCGATATCCTCATACCGATACTGACTAAGTCAAGTTTGCTTGGTTCTAACCAGGCCATTTTCCATATGATGTGTTGGAATTAAGTTTATCTTGTTCTTACTTAACATATTTTAGTCAGTTAAGCTGCTTCACCAATAAAAGTAAATATTTGCCTTTTGAATCTTTGCCTTCTACTTCTAATGAACTTTAACCCACGGTTCTTGTCTCATAGTTAAGATGTACTTTATGAAGTTGATTTCCTCAAGTGCTACTACACATTAGGTTATGTTTTCCTAAAATGTCCTGAATAATATATATATCACAAAGACTACCACGCCTATAAATTAAAATAAAATGTAATTAAATAGTTCGCCCCATTGCTAGTAGCACTAGCGGGTCTACCCTGTACAATGGTTTGTTTCTTTAAACTTAATAACTTACAATATTTTTAATACTTCACCTTCTTATTGCAATTGTGTAACAGATTTGCGTAAGGATCTATTTGAAACGCTTTCAGATATTTAAATTGTATTTTATTTCAATTCATTGTATATATTTGTAAACAAAAATTGGTAAATATAAAATTTAGTGTCTAAAAATGAAAGAATCCTGTCAGTTGCATTTAACAAAAGACTCATGCAGCTTGGGTTTTGGGGCCTATAGCTAGACATTGTATCTTCAACAAAGATATTTTCTTCTGGTTTGTGACTTATAATGATTTGATTCTGCATTTTTTGTTTTGGTTCATTTTTTTAGGGACATAAACGATACAAAATTGCTAGCATCAATTAGAGCAGTTATTTACTAAAATTTCTTTGCGTGCAGTTATATCGTAACATAACTGAGTTCCAAAATTTTGAAAAAATGTCAAAATATCATTAATTTAATCCCCATTATTGTTAAAATCTCTTTAAATGACATTCCAGTTTACCAATAAATTTGTGAAAATATTGCATTAATTTGTTGTATATTTTTTTTTAAAATATCAATTTTACATACCTAAAATATATGAGCTACAAATTATTTGAAATGCATAAGATTGAAATGATGTAACAGTAAGAAGTTTTGTCTATAAATTTTAAGGGCAGGGGAGTGGGGGGGGGGTGGTGTTGGTTTTTAAAAAAAACTATAAGGAGGTTAAAGAAAAGAGAACACACAAACAGATAAGAAATAAGCAAATGTATTTACAACATATTTAACACATACACAGACACACAAAGAGGTAGAAAAATTAAGTTGCGCTATACGTGATTGACATATTTGATGTGAAATTAGACGTGGCGTCATTTGCGACATTGTTCTACGGGCCCACTCTCTGAAATGTCCCCAAGAACCAATCACCGTCCATGCAAGTGATACAATGCATGTGTTGTGTGTTTATTTCGCTGCTATTCATTCACTATATTTTCCGGTCCCTTTAACGAAGTCCAACGCTCCAATAAAAAAACGACAGGGTTCTTTTCTGAAGCCTTAATTGCTATAACATTCCTCTGTCTCCACTGGGATTTTCTACTTGTACCTCAGTGTAAAACAGAAACGAACAGGTATTATTATTATTATTTTTATGTTTAGCTTTATTTTAGACATAATTTGATGAGATCATTCATTATTATTATTATTTTGTTAATGTCAAATTTATTTAAAAAAAAAAAAAACAACAAACAAAAACACCAAAACAACCCACAAACCTTAGCTGGGGAAGTGGAAAAGCCGTATCAAAACCATTTGCTAAAGTGCTTGTTCATCTACAATGTTTTAAAAGTTATACTGGATTGCAATCTTTTTAGTCGAGTCCATATTATTCAGTTGCCTTTGGAAATTTTTGGGAAATAACCGCATGAAATTCATTTCATCACGTCGTTGCAGTTATTTCATACAATTCTATTTGAAAAACTTTTTATTTTTTTTTTTTTTAAACTTTTTTTATTTTTGTATCTCAAAAAATTTAGCACGCAAAATAGAGCAATAAAGGCGGGGACAACACTTGATTATAAAAGATATTTAATAAAATATACAGTTGTCTCCCCTTTAAAACCTTTTTAATTTTTTACAGTTTAATGTTCATACGTGGAGTTATAGAGTACACTTAGCTTATCAACTTATGTTTTCCATATCTTTAAAATTGAACTAAATATAAATATTTTTTACGGATTGATCTGAGGATGGTAATTTATATTCTTGAACTGACGTAATCAACATATGTGTTCATGACGAGACAAAGTTTGCGCCTGGATAGAGGTTATTTTATATTTATTTGAGTTACCTTCTCAGGAGTGTGACTATATTTTTTAATATGTTTTATTTACAAACAAACGTATGTTATTGTCGATTATATTTTAACTGGATGATACTTTTTTTAGGCCTTGTAAAATTGTCTGAAAATAAATACATATATTTATTTTCTTTTAATGAAATCGTCTCTATCTAAATATGGTGTAAAAAAAAATAATCGGTTTAAAAGTAGTTGTGAAATCAGAATATTAAATATACTTCATGGGCGTGCACTAAAAAGTGTGCAGTGAAGCATCATGGGGGGGGGGATTGGTGTAACAAAAAGTGGGATTCTTAAGTGTGCGTTACTTGAGTTCGTGTTTCGTCAACTAACTTTAGTACATGGGAAGTTCACGCAATGCTAACGCCAATGTTTGGCGAGCTTTATGAAAATATGACATGGCTAATACATTTTTTTTCATAAATTCGAATACTTTTAGATACATTTTTTTTTCAAAAATTCGAACACTTTTAGATAATTTTTTTTTTGTGGATAAATTCGAACACTTTTAGATAATTTTTTTTTTTCATAAATTCGAACACTTTTAAAGAAAATGTTGCTAAAAAAAAAATTAACAAAATAAGTATAAATTAAAACTCTAATAATAATAATTGAGATCTTGCATTTTGCATTGATAGGTCCAAAATAAAATGAAGTACACCTGTTATGTTTTGAATAGAGTTTTGAGACCTTATTTTCTTTTTTATCCATAGAAGTACTTTACATTTCGTCGTTTTAAAATTAATCAATTCCAGCGAAAGGGCTGTGCAAACCGTGGTTTATCCTAGGGAGTAACCCGTCCATTAGGTAAGATCAACATGGGATGTTTTAGTGCACGTAGCGTGACTATTTCTATTAGTAAGTTGAAACTTTGCTAGCCGGGACTGCAGTGTGTTGTTGGGTATAGACTACATTGTGTCACGAGCTAGGACTACATTGTGTCATGAGCCGGGACTACATTGGGTCATGAGCAGGGACTACACTGTGTCATGAGCCGGGACTACGCTGCGTCGTAAACTGGGACTACATTGTATCATGAGTTGGAACAATATTTTATTGTGAGCTGGTACAATAATATGTGTCGAGGTTTCGGATGTTAGACTGTCTCTACGTTGTCAAAAAAGTGCATGGCCATTATAAAATGTGATCATTACCTTGATATCATGTATTTATTGTTCAGGAAAATTCTAGATGATTTAACATTTGTAGGTTTCGAGCTAATTTAAAAAGAAACAAAAACGCTAGGAGGTAGTTTGTATGTAAAAATGATATTACAAAAAGATGAATTTAGTGTGGAAAATAATTTCTTAATTTGAAAAGCAATTTTGTTTACTAAAAATATGTTCTGAATATTTAAAAAAAAAATATTTCGAATACAACAATTTGTGTAAATGACTATTGTTCAAAAACATTTTGCGACATGAATACGTCACACTGCAAATTGCATTTCCTAAACATGTCTGAGAGTGACCACAGGGCTCCTTTAAATGTCAGTTCCAACTTGGCACTGTCCATCATCTTTGCCATCATCGCCGTTGTAACCTTTGTAACAAACAGCGGATTAATTTTTGCAATGGTTTACGGTGAATTCGCGCCAAACAGATCGACTGTTGCAACTGGTTCTATCAGCACGAAGAACAATAAAAACAGTATTTCGCAGATTTTGATGACCTCAATGGCAGTTTCAGATGCATTCGTTGGGGTGCTCGTTATGCCACTCGCTGTCGTAGAAACGATCAACAACGGAGCGTGGACGCTCGGCGAGCACTGGTGCACCGCACGCGTCGTGATCGGGGTCATCCTCTGCGCAGTGTCCATCTATCACGTGATGTGCATGGCCGTCGACCGGTACTTTGCGGTCTGCAAACCCTTCCTGTACCGACGAATGAGCTCGACAGCCGGACACGTCATGGCTGCTCTGTGCTGGGTGATCCCGACAATTTTGATCCTGTTAAATCACGTTATCGGCTGGCAGTCCCTCGGCGTCGCTGTCGGTGTGGAGTGTGAAGGTCCGAACAACTTTTGCCTGAACGTGTACAACGAGACGGCCTTCTGCGTCAACATTCTCCTCTACTTCTTCATACCTTTCGCAGCCATTTTTATCCTCTATTGTCGAGTTCTTCGGGAAATTTTTATGTTCAATCAACGAAAGTCAAAGAGATTAGAATTAGAGAGACAGGTCGCTGAAGACACGAGCCCAAAAGGCAGTTTGTCGGCAAAATACTTCAAGTCAGCAAGACAGAATACAATATCCAAAACATTTGCATTTATAAGGGAAATATTTCATAAGGGATCGTTTTCTCCGACTACCCCCAACAACAATGGGGAAAGAACATCGATCACAATTATCAGTTTTAAGATGAATGACACATTGCCTGATCTAGGGCATAAAATGACGTCACCCCGACAATGTTCTGAAGTAGAGTCGTTCCAGAACATCAACAATAGCACCAGGGCTTTCAAATGCATGCCGGGAAACGACATAACAAAACTGAGGAATGGAAACCCCAATGTGAAGGCGTTCCGCACGATTGGTTTCGTCGTGGCCTGTTTCACGGTCTGCTGGCTGCCATTTTGTTTGTCCTCCGCCATTATCACTTTCAGTGGCGTAGCCATGCCCGCTTGGCTGAGAATGGGGGTCAGCTGGCTGGGTTACATCAACTCCACCATCAACCCTTTCCTGTTCTGCTGTAACAGGTCCGTCCGCAGGTCAGTCAGACAGCTGTCTAGCGTATGTGTAAGATAATGAGATAACTTCCAGGCAATTATTTAAGTCATGTGTAAGATAGTGATAGAACTGTCAGGCAACTCTTTAATTCATGTGTAAGATAGTGAGAGAACGATCAGGCAACTCTTTAATTCCTGTGTAAGATAGTGAGAGAACGATCAGGCAACTCTTTAAGTCCTGTGTAAGATAGTGTGAGAACTGTCAGGCAACTCTTTAAGTCCTGTGTAAGATAGTGAGAGAACGATCAGGCAACTCTTTAAGTCCTGTTTAAGATAGAGAACTATTTAATTCGTGTTTAATAAAAGTGACAGAAAGATCAAAGTATTTTGTGCACCGTGTGTAAATTAGCAAACAATCTTTCAGACAGCTGCCTGGGCCCTGTTTAGAATTAGCTACAGTGTCTTGAAACATTTCATCACTCATAAACCTGTCAATTGACTCCGTTCCGGCAAAGTCGACATTACTTTTTCACAACGTCATAACATGTGTTTACGTGAAGCTTCATAAAAAACACATCACGCAAACACTTTGCGAATCACTGCTCTAGCAACGTGCTTTATTTCTGGTAGCTTCACGTATTTTTTATATTTAATCGTCTTAAAAAATAACCATTATCTTAGAGCTAAAAAAAATAAACTTAACTTATAACTAAAATAATAATCTTATGTTATAACTAAAAAAAAAAAGTTTTAAAAACATGTGCGACGTGTACAAATAAAAGCGTTTTGCAGATGAACATATATATGTATATTAAAAAAAAAAAGATATAAAAACATGTGAGATGTATATAAATAAAAGAGTTTTGCAGATAAATATATATATATATATATATATATATATATATATATATATATATATATATATATATATATATATATATATATACATTTTCCATATCAGTTACCATTTTCAAAGACTCAAATGCTATCAGATGAGAAGAACCCCCATTTTTTGTTTCAATCAATCCAGAAGCAACGTTAGAGTATGTGTGGTTATATTGCAAACATTAAACCATTACCACTGGACTCACTCAGGCTTGTGATGACTTAAATCAAGAGTGTATAAAAGGCTTTTACAAATATCGTTTAGCTCTAACATACAAATTTACCATAACATTCGTTACCATGGTAACCTTCTGGTGTATTTGTTTTTTTTTTTTTTTTTTTTTTTTTTTTTTTTTTTTTTTTTTTTTTTTTTTTTTTTTTTTTTTTTTTTTTTTTTTTTTTTTTTTTTTATATATTTTTGTTTTTTTTTTTTTTTTTTAAATTGATTTTGTTTCATCAAAGGAAAGCCTGTGGCGATTTCAGGAATGCCTCCATAGAATCCGTTGTTTTATTTTACTGGGTCACAAACACAGTGAGATAAAATGGTGTATAATAGAATGCATTAGTGACCCTGATTTAATTTAGGTGTGTTCTTGTCAGAGATCAGCAGAATTCCGATTGCTATTGTGTAAATACTCGCTTACTTTGTGCAAGCTGTTAGAAAATGCACACGAAACGGATGTAATTATTTCATATGTTGCAAGCTGATTTCAGTGTTTAATAAAGTCGTCCACCCATATCCGCTTGGTTTGGCTACAAATGTGTTAGCAATGTGCAACAGATAATTTGAACTTCAATGTGTTTTTTACTTCATGAGCAATTGTTTTTGGTTGCTGTTTTGGCAAAAAATTTACCCCTAGTTCCTCTAGAAAGGACATTTTAGAATTGTAAGAGTATTATCAATTTGATAAGATTGTGTATACACGAGGAAATAAAATATTTAAAAAATATTCATATCAATAACGTCCAAAACAAAATTGTGAAAAAACAAAATCATACTGAATATTCTAACTGTTCGAAAGACCATTATTGTTTTACAATGACAAACTTCACACATTGTCATCTCATGCTTTGGGGTCAAAAGCTCGACATGTTTCAGAATGTCATTGAGTCTTACGTCATTGTAGCCATAATGTCACTTCTTAACATCTTTATCGTCCTTGGAAACCTGGCGGCCATCTTGATAGTCGCGTACGCAAAATGCGCCACCCGACGGAAACAGCGCGACTCGGTCAAGGTCGAGAACGGCATCACAAAAATATTGATGATCTCGATGGTCATTTCAGACGCCATCTTTGGAGTCACCGGTATGCCGTTAATGGTGATTGAGCTCTACCACAGTGGACACTGGACGCTCGGCCCCACGTGGTGTTTCATCAAGGTGCTGGCCCACTACCTATGGTGTCCACTGGTCATGTGTCACGTGGTGTGTATGGCCGTGGACAGATTTTTGGCTGTGTGCAAACCTTTGGTTTACCGAAGCCTTTCCTTCAAGTTGGGTTACTGTCTCGTGGGACTATGTTGGGGCCTTTCCCTGCTTATTGTGCTTACGCCCATGGCGGCCTACTGGTTTAATTTAGAAGATAATGCCCGGCCATGCTCAGAATCAAATAGTGTTTGTGATTTTATGCGATCGAAAGCTTTTGTGATGCTGAACTATTTTTTTATTGGCTTTTCACCAATCACTGCGATACTTGTGTTGTATTTCTTTATAATCAGGGAAATTTTGAGATCAAGCAAAAGAATCGCCAACAGCTGTAGAAATCGTAATCGAATGCAGCCAGACAATATAGACAGCTTAAAATCTAAAACGACATTTACCAATCAGATTGAGAGTGAGAAGGGTGTAGAGAGAAATGTAGGGATACTTCTTGCCTCAAATAGATCCAAGATCTTGACCAAAACCATTAGTCATTTATGTTTATTTGATGCAGGTTTATTGAGCTCAGGTAATGCCACCACGGTCAAGAACTTAATTGCTGATGAGAAGACATGGCAAACTGCAATAGACTCAAGTCCACAACCATTGGACGTAAAACAGCTTTTAAATTCAAATGTCAGAATAGACCGTTTGACGTCATCTGATCCTGAATGTGCGATGCCATTGTCAAACACGCTGCCTGGGCCACTGGACACAAATCCACTCGACACAATTCGCGTGGACGGGTCTAACGTACATGGTCTAAACACAAGAAATAATCTTAGGTTTTCAATAATCAGTGGCGCCACATTCAAATCGAATCAAAGAGACCAAATCGGATCAATAACCCGAACACATTGTCGAGGGTTAAGACAAATGAGGGCCGTTCGAACGATCGGGTTAATTGTGATGTTTTTCTCCATCAGCTGGATCCCCGTGTTTATCTGTTTGCCCATATTCACTGTGACTGGCAGCCACTTGCCGTCGTGGCTGATACTAGTGATGATCTTCTGTAACTATAGTAACGCGGCTGTGAATCCAGTGCTCTTCTGCTGTAACCCTGATTGTCGAGTTATTATTAAAAGCATCGTTGCCAAAGTTTTGCGCAGTTTCCGCTATAAATAAATAGTGTGTTTGTTGACACGTTTATCTGCTTTTTGAATTAGTGTTATCCTTTTTTTTTTCTATATCTCCAGTTAAATCCATACTATTTATGTTATTTCTCTTTGATAAATTAAGGCCCAGAATTTACTTAGAGTAGACTTCACTCTCAGTGGTACTGATAACCATGAAACATGACTTTAGGTCTCCGACCACAATTTTAACAGCAGAGATCAGAAAACAAAATTTTTCCCAGCCAATAAAAAAAATTCAATAAATACTATTTGTGTTTTTAAATTTTCACTCCCCTTTCTATGTTACACCTTGGGTAACAAGAACACCTTGGGTAAATAGAACACCTTGGGTAAATAGAACACCTTGGGTAAATAGAACACGTGGTGGATAATACAGTTATTTTTTTTTTACAGTAAAACTGAAAATAGAACAAACTTATCATAAGTTGGCCTCTCAAAATCTGTCTATAATGAACTCAAAATTACGTCCACATGATTACGACATCAAACATTTTTTTTTTTTTTACAATTTAGATTAAGTTTTAAAATTTAACGCAAAGTCAAAGAAATCTCTTTGAAAAAGATATGTGTTTGTGAGATTCATTTAATACTTGGTTTTGTTAGTTGATGATGCAGATTATTTTATACGTTCGCAACCATTATATTTTTTTTTCTTCAAAACATAAACAACACTTGTTTACATTGTATTAAGTTTACTTTTGTATGTAACTAGTCATAAAGTTGTTCAATGTCGAATATCTTTTTCACATTGAATCGCCATGCAAATGGTCCTTAATTTATTGTTAAATGCATGCTGTTGTGTTTTTTTTAAATATTTCCTGCTTAAGAGTGGTTGGGATTCTTTATTTTTTAAATTTTCATTTTTTTTTATTTTTTTTTGATTTATAAGATTGCATATTAACTCCACGACTAACATGAAAATGTATATTTTTAAGTGAAGTGTGCAATAAACATTAAATTATTTAATATTGAGCGTAAAAGAGATTTAAGCCTGGAACAAAATTTTATCATAAAAGTGGAGTAGAATTCTCAATGCTGACAGAATGTGTGATCAAATATGCAGACAACCGATGATCGCATGCACTGATTTTATCACCTAACAACAGGAAAAAGACCACGAAAGGAATGTTACAAACTTGTCTGTTAAAAATTGTACAGAGTACCATATCAGTTTACCATATGATTGTACCATATGATTGTAATTATACGATTTTAACATATGATTGTATTATATGATTGTTTATGCATGCATGTCAAAAGTTAAGAAGAAATAATTTTGGGAACAAAAGTCTCTCTATGTCTATATAGTTTGAAAAATATAGGTCTCGATTAGACCGTATGCAGTTCGTATCATCCGCGTCTAGAAAAATCGAGTTTAAAACACCTGTGTATATGTTAGGCCACATTAGAATTTGAAATGCCTGTGTCTAGATTAGGCCACATTAGAATTTCAAATGCTTGTGTCTAGATTAGGCCACATTAGAATTTCAAATACCTGTGTCTAGATTAGGATACAATTGGGTTTTAAATATCTCTGTCTAGATTAGGCCATAAGGAAGTTTGAAAAATTAGTTTTTAGGTTAGGCCACATTTAAGTTTATAACGCGTGTGTCTATACTAGTTCACAATGGAGTTTGAAACACCGGCGTCTAGATTAGAGCACAATAAAGTTTGAAACCTCTATGTATAGATTAAGCTATAATAGAGTTTAAATCACCAGTGTCTAGTTTTGGCAATTATGGAGTTTAACACACGTGTTACTAGATCAGACCAAAATAGAGTTTGAAAGATGCAGGCCATTTATTTTAAAAAGGCGATTCAAGAAAATCCTCATTGTAAAATGTATGAGCTCAATGGCTCAAGTCCTTTATTATACGGCAGTATAGGAAAACTAAAATAAAAACATTCACGTAACTAAATGCGAAAAGCAATAAATATATATCTATAGTGCATAATAAGAATGATTTAGAATCAGCAAATAATAATTTTCAAAATACATATAGTTAAATACTCTATGATTCTTACAAATAATGAAAGAGATTTAATACTTTTTTTTTAGGAAATTGAATCAGTTGATAAATGATTTTAATAAAAAACGAACTCATCTGCTTATATTTAAGTCTATCTTTAAGTATCATTATTACAAACTAGCCAGAATTCTGCATGCGTTGCAATGCCACTCAAAGAAAAGAAAATGTTTGTGCTTCAATTTCGGTTTTTAAGGTAATTTTTAAATAGAAAATATTTATTTTTTTTCCCGTCTGGTGCGTACAATAATAAATTAGAAGGTTTTTCGACGAATGCGCAGGCAACATACAGCTTTCCACGTCAAAGGCATGGATTTTAAACATGTAGTCCACACACTTGTAGCGATTGACCCACCCATGCAGTTTGTCTGTTTGAAATTGTTTATATATTCGCATAAAATAATATTTTAAACATGAGAACACCGCCCCCAAACACATACTCGTCAAACGGTTGTACATGACCTCAACCTTCCCAGTCTAACGTAGCACTAATTAAATCACTTTTGTCACTGAAGGAATTAATTGAGTGACAATGACTACGCTAGAGAAATAATTTAGATGTACCCTTTGTAGTGCCCTTGAAATTTGTAAAATTTTTGATTAAACATAATTAACTAGTTTATCGGAGCTTAATCTTGTGATGTTTGGAGTTTGGTTGATGTATCAGAAGGCGACTTGCAATACTTATATTATTAGTAAATATAACTGTCATTTGTAAGAGAAAATTAAGACAAGCATCAAGCTGACTTAAAATAATTCAACGATTAAACTAATATATAGTTAATGTCATAGAGGTCAGAGCTATTATATCGGTGAACAATGTCAGAGACGCCAGTGATAGCATTGAGAGCTATTTCATTTGATTAAAATCATACGTGTTTTATAAGTTAAAATCGTAGAGGTGATTTATGCGTCATCAAATTGAGGAATTTGACTGAATTTACATGAAATTTGGTTTACTTCAATACTGACTAAATACTGTAATATACTAAATTTTTTATCAATGGCCGTATCGGACTGTCTGGTGAGCGCTACCAGCATGCCCATGGCATCCAGTGAGATGGTCAAAATCGGGAGGTGGGCCTTGAGTCCAAACTCATGCAGGTAACGAGCCCTGATCGATATTCTCCTCTGCATGGTTTCCATCTTTTACTTTTATCTTGGCAGTAGACAAGTAAATCGCAGTGTGCAAGCCATTGAGCTATCATAAACTGACACATTAGGCTGGTGTTTACATGGTCGCCTTCTGCTGGATATTTCCCCATGCCATCTTCGCTTGCACGATGATTGCTTTTGTGTGGGCTCAGTCTAGCGTAGACCTACTAATCACAATGGAGACAATGAATATTGTGTGCCTTGTTTCATTCAAGCCTTCTTTCAACTTAATAGTCTCGCTCCTTGGTTGCCTTACGCCATTTTCCATTGCGCACATACTTTATTTCATTATTTTAGTACATGTTCAAAATATCAACAAAGGAAGAATCAAAAAGTTTAAAGGCAATGTCCTATCTGGAATACTTGCTGTAAACCAATTCACATCTGCCCATCAATCTCATTACGCTTCATGTGTAAAGTAATATGGGCAACGGGAATTCAGTGCTAACTGTTAGTACGTCTATCTTAGAACTGAATGCTACAGAGCTATATCAAGATGTTACTCCAACGACAGCATTAGAGTCATCAACCCACGCAGACACACATTCATAAGCGACAAATATCAGTATAAACTCAGACAATGTAGTGAGTACAGGTAATTCTGAATTCCTCAGATTGGAACAAACAATCAAAAATCAGTCAAAGACATCGAGGCATGAATGTATTACAAGGCAAGTTCAAACTAAGAGCACGGGCCAACAGAACATGAACAGTGGGTCTCATATGAAGTCATCGGCTCCCAAACCTTCCGGCATGAAGGCGTTTCTGACCTTTGGACTGATCGTTATGGTTTTCACGGTCTGCTGGTTGCCATTCGCAGTGTTCCAAAGTGTTACTGGTGGCAAGCCAGATCTCGACTTGGACACGTTGACAATGACGGCTTTATCATGGCTGGGTTACCTGAACTCTGCATTCATTCATCTGCAGTTTAATTGTCTTCGGAGCGTAAGGGATTCTGTTAGAAGTCTGAATTATTTCACTGTGTGAGGGATCCTGTTCAAGGACTGATCAGTGTCTCTATGTGCGGGATTATGCAAGAATACTGATCTCTTTCTCTGTGTTATGGTTTATGTGAGACTCATCTGTTTCTCTATGTGAGCGATTATGTTGAAATACTGATCTGTTTCTCTTTTTAAACGATCTTGTTAGAGGCCGGGTCTGTTTCTTTGATTCCGGGATCATTTTAGAGGACTAACTCTTTCTCTGATTAATTTAAGGTGGTAGATGAGCATGAAAAAGTCATAACAAAACCAATGATTTGCCCCACTTTATAAACTTGACATGTTCTAAGTGTTACTGTGTCTGTGCTCCATGTATTAAGTCATGGAATATGGTAATAAATTTACACGTTCTTTTTAAATTTATGTATTTGGCAATTCTGAGACCCATGTAGTAATTTAAGAGTTTGTATTGTTCAAATTTAAATAGTAGCACGTTTCTGAAAATAGTTATTGATTATTGATATTATTTTTTTGTAAAACAAGCATTATTTAATTTTACTTTTTTTATATTGTTATATTGTTTATGCAAAGATTTAAAAAAAAATAATAATAAAACAGTTCCAGTTTTTATTTAAATTAATTAACAACAGTAACAACAATGCACGTTTTTTGTACATTGGTGATGAATTCAATCACATTCGTTTGATTTAAATACATCAGAGCTACTTAGATGAATTTAATATAAAATTTAATGCACGCGTATCTGTTACTATTCTCGTTAATTGTGCCCC